AATCGGAGCGTTATTCTCCCGAGTTGCAAGTGGGTGAGCGCGTTTAATACACCCTTGCTAACGTCTATGTGAACGAATGTAAGAATGATAGATAACGCACAGTATGACGTATTCATGAATCTCTTTAATTGAAACTACTTAAACTAGCATCCGCCCATAACGTGGCGAATGCGTACAGTGTAGTTACGCGAGTAACCTCACATAACTAACGAGGTATAAGCTGTCAGTCGCTGTCTCTAACCAAGATGTTATATGCCTGTATTTCTATTACACTATCGCTCTGTGTCGTTCTCTGGTCGCACACGCGGTTATATACTGACATAGGTAGACACGCCTACCTATTGTCTCTCGTCAGTCCGTACTGCAGGCTTGTCTATAAGTGGCTACTTCTACCCTGTCCCGGTCCTGTCTATTCCCGCGTTGCGACCTCACACAGCTGGCCATATATGCCACCCCAGAACAATAGATTACTCCTAGATATTTACTTATCCATCTTTCGACGGTATTACATTATCCCCCCCCCCTTAGGAAAAAGTTGGAAGCCGCAGCTATGCGGCGAACAACGTTGTTAAGCCGAAATGTACCCTGTACTTTTAATACGTATTTTATATTAATTTTTATTATTATTTTTCTTTGAGTTTTTCGTTCTGTTATTTTATATTTGATTTTTTTTTCAGTGCACCCATCACCCTCTTAACTAACTAACTAACTTAACTAAGCACACAGTTCTTTATTTTGTTTTATTTTATTTTATTTTATTTTATTTTACATTTATCGATCTTTTCTTCCTTTCGTTTCTTGGACAATACAAAACAAGAAAAAAAATAACTAGTCTGGCGTTGCAGCCGTCGTCGTCGTCGTCGTGGGTCCTCGCCGTCATCGTGGGGTCCTCGCCGTCCTCGTGGGGTCCTCGCCGTCATCGTGGGGTGCTCGCCGTCATCGTGGGGTCCTCAGCGGTACCCGCTGTAGAAGCGTCGCTCCTCTTCTTCCTCGGCGTTCTCGTCGGTAGCGACAGCTCCGGCAGCGATGGTAGCGGTGGTCACCGGCGCGGCCGTGACGCCCGGCCTGACTGTGACGACGGGCGGCGTGGCGTGAACGCGGCGTCGACACGGGCACAGTGTACACTGCGTGCACAGCGTGGCGGGGGCGTTGCGGATCGACTGTGTCGCGCAACCGTCGTCGGCGGTCGGCGGCGGCGGCGGTGGCATGGCGGCGGCGGTCGGCTCGCAGTACCGCTTGTGGGGCGGTTCTTCCTGCATGTCCCGCGCCGTTGCCTGCTCGTGGGGACGGCGCCCCGCGTCGTTGCTCCGCGTGCTGACCTGGCTCAGCGCCGCCTGCAGCTCTTCCTCCCAATCTTCTCGGTCATCGCAGGGGGAGTGGCTCGTTTTCCGGGTGATGCTCATGTTGCTTTAAAAAAGGCTAGGTTATTCCATTGTGATACATAATACGAAAACGGTGGTTAGTGGCACTCAACATATAGCGTGCTTAAAACAACAAACGTTCATATATGCATTAAAAACCTGTGAGTTAGTGCGTCTTAAGGATGCGACGTAACAAATATTGTGTGAAACATAAGTAACATAGAGTGCGTCACACGTGAGACATATAGTATAATATAGTGAATACATTGTAACATAGTAAAACATTTAGTGCATTATCGTGAAACACATTGACCAAAACATCGCACGTACATCACTATTCTTATGACTATGGCGTATTCTAGTCTGCATACTTCTTAGCATAATTCTTAGTACGCGCCAACGGTTTCATTTCAATCGGAGCGTTATTCTCCCGAGTTGCAAGTGGGTGAGCGCGGAGATAGAAAGAGTTTTCACTGCCGGTTTGCTAGTCGAATCTATACCATGCCTGGATGTATGAGGCTACAATTCACAGGGATATGAAGATTCTCAAAAGATAAATTTGGTTGAAGAAGGTTATGCCCTTGAAGAGTCGTGAGTAATGTTCGTATGGCATTCTGTACTGTCAGTATGTTACATGTAACGGGTACTGCCACTGCCAGTGGCCATGCCAGTGCCATGGCGATGGTGTGGGGGGCGGGTGCGCGCGGGGCTGCTGGTACTGGTGTGGTTTTTGCCTGCGTTAATTGATAACGTACAGGTGCAGCTCTCCTATTCAGCCCTGTAGGCCTTGGCGTAGTGTAAATGGATGTGTCTTACTACTTCTGGTCTTGCAAATAGTTGTACTACTACGTACGACTGGGAGCTTCCATCTTTAATCTGAAACCCCTTCCCTAAACGTACGCGCCATCCTCGTGCAACTTTCATACGATCCCAAACGAAAGCATTCCTTTTTGAGAATTAAGGTTCCTGATACCATCCCTGTGCCTATCCACTGTTTCGGCGTGTAATTGTGAACACATTTGGGACTAACAGGGTTTACTAGGAAGTAGTAATCCCACCACTCCACCACAGATGCACCGCAGTAGACGTAGATGACGCTGCTCCTTCGCGCACTTTCTTTTGGTTCCTGTAGTCTATGTAGACGCCATAAAAACCATATTTAATTTATTATAAATGATTATTTAGTGAACACACCGATCGCAGGCGAAATGGGAATGGGGTAGTATTTTGAGCGTAGACGAATTGGTGAAGTAGCGACTGGTGTAGGCAACTGGGAATCTTGCGTAGGCGAAATGCGAATTTTGCCGTAGGCAAATGGGAGTAGGCCAACCGGAATAAACGCGATTAGTGTACGCTACCTGGCTATAATATTTTATGTTGTGCAATGTGCAGTGTACATTAATTGTGTGTTGCAGAGGAGCATTTGAATCGCATGCATTAATGTATTTAATGTGCCTAATCATTCATGATTATGTTTTTCAGGAAGAGTTTTTATGGAAGAACCATCACCAATTGCAATAGGGAGTTTGTGGACAGCCAAGTCGGTATGTAATACATACAGTCAATTAAAAGCTCTGTCGCTGCAATGAACCCCAGTAAATTTGCCAAACATTCACGCATTATTCCAGTTTTCTCCAACTGACCAAGCCAAATCTATGCTCCTTCGCTTATATACTACACCAACAGTTTTATTTTATTTTAGGAAATTATTTACTAATCTAAATCAATTTGATCCAGAATATCTTTTGGAGCTGTAAGTGTAATGTGTAGATAATAGTTAACAAACTGCTTTCATTTGATAGATGCCATGCTGAAGATGCAAAGACTACAGACATAGCCCTTTCTTGTTGTGGGTGATCCTTTTGGGTGAGGTTGTTAATCGTAAGGTAATCAATAATTGTGCAAAACCTAGAGCTGCATGTTTCTTCATCTCCTCTGTCTTCTAAATGTGTGCAAAGGCTCCAATAGGAATACAAATTAACATTAAATGTTCCCTATAATTACTGGATTTTATTTTTGTCCTGAATTACTGCATAATTGTTTTTAATTATATTTTCTAATTAATTATTGATAATATTGGAAATATAATCTTCATAGTAGTTAAACCAATGCTTGTCGAGAACATGTGGCGCGCCCATATTACACTGTGTTGTGTTCACTATGTTATATTCGCTTGTTCATCAAAAATGTCTTGTTCAGGGCAACTACGCATTCTGACCTCATACTACTGCATTGCAAGAAGGAGTGTCATACAAAGTCATTCACAATGCCTGCCATCTTGAATGCAGTTGGCTGTTTTGGGCTACAGGTAGTGTTAATATATATTGTATGATAATTAAGCAGCATAAAAAAACACAAGCATTTTCAAAAATATCAGTATGCGCTCATGCTACTTTAATCCGATTCTGTTTGCTAACATATCATTGATGACTAACAAATATAATCGAAATTATTGACTAACCAGTAATGGTTTAAAGGATATGGATTAACACATATGGTACTGCATGCATACAGAACAACTGCCAACCATTCATTGCACCCGTCTGTTGCATATTTTATGCTAGCCATTGTACTCTTTCCTCGCTTATGTCAGCTATATATACTTTGGGGAGACAGTCTCCATCGTATTTTGACTGGATACATGGAAACCAGACAGTTCTGTGACAAGATTTCAGTAAATAGAAAACAATGGGTTTTCACACTCTGTTGTTGTAAGGTAAGTTGTACAGAATCAAAATGATTCCATACATAATTTATTGCTTATCGCCTGAAGCAATTCCTGGAAAAATTTATTTTCCTTGAAAATGCGATGAATTAGTGAAATCACAATAATGAATAAGGTTAAATGAAAACATTGAGTTAGGGAATTAGCCAGCAGTACGGGACAGGCACAAATACTATTATCTTTTTATATGCTTAGATACTTATGCATTTATAACTTAAATAATGATCACCATGAACATTTATATAGCTACAATGAATAACAATTTACGTCTCTAATGTTCTACTAGGCAACACTAATGCTTGTGTAAAGCAGTGCCATTTAAATTTAAATTTTATTTGGTGAAGGTTGACTGTTGATGTCCATGAGCCTCATATAACATAACACATAACTCTCAAAGAAATGGTACAGATGGAGATGCGGCATGGCAGAATAGGAAATGCTTTGTCCATGGTATGGGGTGACAGCTAGTAGCCTACCGATTCAAGCCAGTGAAAACTGGCAAATGATAACTAGGTGGGCTTCATACAATTTTTTCCAGAATATCAAGTTAAGGAGCAGTCCTTGGAAAACCTGAGTGACAGTAAGCTTCTGCTAAGTGAATATTTTGCGGATAAATTCTTATTGTCTGTGCCCGTAAAATTCCATGCATGTTCAACAAGTCTTATCCATACTAACGTGAGTAATCAGAGTGTCATAATAAATAGAGAGAGTATGACTCACTCGAAACACAAGAATTCACATTTCAGATGTCCTATCATACCTACGATTTATTGCGTTAAACCCAATAAAAATGATCCTCAGAACTAACGTTATACATCCATTGCCCTCTCACATTACTCTTGTATCGATAACCTTTTATTATTATGTAGTTATAGCTTCAACATCAGAGATGGTTTTATTCATTGACTATGGTTAAATTGGCGCGGTCTTTTCCGCCCGATTTGACGTGAAACAAGAGGCAGCTCGCTCCTGAGACACTTGTGCCGGGTTTCATTCACTCTTGTCATTTTGTAACTTACTTAATATGTGCGCAGCTGTTATTTTTATTATTCGTGTTACCTTTTACTTTTTTGTTCTTGTCGTCGTCAGAGGAAAAAAGATTTATGAGCCACCCGCTACATGAATGTGGAGGAGCAGCCACACAGTTGCTGCCAGGTTGTTGAAAAAGAAACGAGAATGAAGGGCTATCTAATTTAGGTAAGAGTGCTTCTTTTTATATAAACAGCATATTTTAAAGTCACCCTTGAAAATGGTATAGTGATGGAACATGCAATGACCTGAATAGGACAAATTTGACTAAAATCAGCAAAATGTAAATTTCTTGCTCTTTTTCTGTGCTAAAGTGAATATAACTGTATGGTACCCTATGTGAAAGTAAGCATGTTTTTAAATGCATAAGGTTTCGTGCCTCTTTAGAACTGTTCCATTAGAGTAGTGAATAATAACTTGAAGGTTGAAAATCTCAGATTTAGATGCGCATAGGATATGGTCCCACCTAAGGAGGCCCCTACCATCTGGTACACCCATCAAATCAGGGTAGAGGAAGGCACAGCCCAATGCAAACTGTGGCGCAATCATATTGTAATTTTGTTTATGGTCATCATTAAACACCCCTAAGAAATCAGCCGGAATTGTCTCTGCATTTAAATCCAAAATGGTAGAACTTTACATGTGGCATGTGTATGTTACCATATGGGGACTTTTACACCGGATTAATCTTAACGATCATTCTGACAAAATGGGCCTCTATACTTTGCCCTTGAGGTTCGAGCCGATATAACGACATTTTAAGCGTGATTGCCTCCTCCCCTCCCGCCCTTAAGATGAACAAGAAATCACTAAAGAGCGTTGTTGAGTATGCCAGCCCTGTGATTACACGTGTACTGTTGCGCAGCCCTTTGAACGAAACACGATCTGCGTCGCCGGCCGCATCGCAGCGACACCGAGAAGCTGCTGCAGCCGGCACTCTCCACAGATGGCGACAAGTTGACAATGGGGCCTGCCGCTGCACTCCGTGGTCGTTCGCGGGTTAACGTGCATCCGATGAGCTGGAGATGCTACGACGTCTTGCGATCACGTGGCGACGTTTGATCAGCTGCTCACGAGGCTTACCAGATCGGCCGTGGCTGCAAGACGCACAGGTGATGCGTGCCACGAGTTCATGACTCGCGGGTGTGGGGCGTTGTTCGGGACGATTTGGGGTTCGGTCAGTTCTGGAACACCCGAAAGGTTGTTGATTTTTTTAAATGGCATTTTCCAGGCCGGTTGGCCTGTGAAATAGGGTTCTATGATGCTTGGTTCCCTGGTGTCGCGAAAATTCCCTGCTTGGGAATACATGAATAGGATGTGTATGCGCACTTGTCCCTGACCCGACCAAATCACAGCTCGTCTTTGTGTGCGAAATTTCTGTCCTGTGAAATAAATGATATACGGATGCGTATGCGATGCAGTCTGAATTGACCACACTTAGCAACCAATAAGAATATCAACTACAATCTCTACCTATCAGACTCTAAACTCGAACTAAATATAAAACATTACACATTTTAATACAAACCTTCAATTGACAAGTTTGTGTTCGTCCAAGTGTACACAACTATCGTAACACAAAGGACTGAGCTGTGATTGGTCCCGGGTCGGCATGATGCACATACGTATCTATATATATAAAGTTGTTCACCGAAATTATCGTACTAGCAATAACGAGAGAACTCCGCAGGCCTGCCGGAAACAAATATGTCAGCCATTCAGCACGTCTGGGAGGTGGTTCTGCTGACAGCAAAAATTTAAAAAAGTTACAAAAGTTAAAAATTCATAAAAATCTAATTCATCAATAGATGGCGGGCCGTACAGATAACATCACGTACGTGTGAATCCATGAGGTAACCGGCAAGGCCGTACGCAGGAAATTTTCTGTAGGGGGCAAATTACGCAGGAAATTGTTCTGTAGGTGGGGCAAAGTACTCCCCACGCCCTCTATTTTGCCTATTTGTCCCATTAAAGGCATACTCTGAAAATCTCTAGGGGGCAACTGCCCCTGCTGCCCCCCCCCCCCGCTGCGTACGGCCCTGGTATACCCTTAACGGCGCAGTGGCCTAATCGCTAGAAATCCGTCTCCTACACCCGGATCCGGTTTGAGTGCCAGCTGGAACTTATTTTCCGCCTTTTTCCTTTTAGTAAGTATTATTTTTTATTTTTATTTTTTATTTTATTTTTTATATTTAATGTCTTTTATCTTTGATTTCTTATTATTTGATATTGGAGGATGGCATGGATGGGATGGAGGCAGTGCGATGCATGGGATGGGATGGCATGGCAGGCATGGCATGGCATGCAATGCATTGGATGGCATGAGATGCGATGACAATGAATGGAATGGGATGCGTCGATGGGATGGGATGGGATGGCATGGAAATGGGATGGATGCATGGATGGATGCATGGGATAGATAGATAGTTTTGGTATTTCCTTTCAGACCAAGCGGTCACCAACTGATAACGACCAACTATTCTCTGCGCAACGCCGGGTATCTCGCTAGTCCTAATATCTTTGTATTCTGCACCTACGCGGAATTTCGCGCGGACACGGGAAGAAGTTGTGCGGATATTGAGTACGGTACGTGTCTACGTGTAGCATTTTACGAATGAAATACAACTGATAATACTGATAATAATGATAATTGACTGAAGACCAGAACTGCTTATCTGTCTGAGGTGGCAATCAAAACTGCTTGAGGCAACAGTTTGTTCACGAAAGTTGATTGAAATGAGGAGGTATAAAGATTGTATTTTGCTTA